AGACACAGTGAATCCGACCACGGGGAGCCAGATGAAAGCTAGCCACGGTTGCTTGACAGCAAATTAAAAAAGGGAAAGACTGGTGTCTCAGTGTTTTTTTTTATATATATATATATATATATATAATTGATTTTTCCATCCCTCCAAGAAGCATCTCTAATGCTGCTTAGCTAGAATTAAGCCTTTTGTTCCTTCAGTATCTTTTTCTGTCAAAATGCTACCTGCTTGGTATCGGGCATCGGGGGGTAACATCTACAACATCTTTTTTTAAGCAATATAAAATTAACATGTTAAAATCTGTAGACTCGCCTGAGGTAGCACAAAAAAAATCTTAGGAGTGGGTGTACAAGTTGTAATGGGATTTCCATTCGATGAGTAATCACCCCAAACCAACCACCTTTTCTCCTCTTAAAGAAGGAACCCAGAAGCAAAAAAAAAAAGAGGAAAACGGCTTCCACCACAGAACTAATGCACAAACTGCTTTCCATAGACGGAAGAGTAAATGACCCAGGCTTTTAAACCAAAGCAAGCCCATTGAGACTCCCCACCAAAAGCTGAGTACATGAGGTGTGCAGATGATGTTATCCATGCTGGAAGTGTCGCATCAACTGCCAACTCCTTGGGGGGGAAAGTATCGCACGAAACTACGACAGGCCTGCTGGGCCACAACAGTGTTGCAGTGCTGTGTGCCCAGCGTGTAAAAGAGGCTACCCCGACTGTGCTGTGTTTCCAACACCTTTTTTTTTTTTTTCCCCCCCATCGCATTAATGAATGGGCCCTACTGTTAGACACTGAGTCACACAGGACTTATTACCGCATGGGAACACCTGGCAGCCAACAATTCCTAATGGATTTAAGCAGAGGATGTGTGATCTATTATCCTATATAACACTCTGCTGCACCAAATATGACTTTTGCTTTTTTTTTTTTTTTCCAATTAACGTAAATAGAAGCCCATATATTTATACAATGTATAACAGCAGTTGGAATGGCACCCAATCCAGCAAAACAATGCATTACGTTCTGGTTATTAAATCAGTCATAAGAGGTTTGACTTATGACTGTACTCTATGGAAGCCCAGAGAGGACATGCATCAAAACATTTCATTGAATTCAGTTTGCCAGTGAATACGAGTTAATTTTGTTTGATTTAACAAGATATCAACTTATCTATGTCGTTATCTCGGGATCAGAACATTGGTTTTCATTGGATAATGACGTAATTTAAGCTGTTTCCAAAAAAAACAGCATTGTTATCTTGCAATAATGAATAAATTCAGAAAACGAACACAATTCACTTGTTGTCATCGGGAAAACCAGCATTTTTATCCCAAGATAACAAGATAAATACGTCTTGATCTCGATCTTGAGAAAACTAACACAATGTACTCGTTATGATGGAAAAATGGCATTATCTTTAGACAATGAGTACATTTGTTTTCTTGCGATCTTGACCTAATTATGTCGTTATCTTTGGACAAAGGAGCACATTGGGTGTTGTTTTTTTAAGCTCTTGACTTGCAACTTTAGTGATCTCAAGATACAAATGGTATTCCCAATTGTTTGTTTTCCTGAAACCTCGACTTGTTGATCTTGTTATTTCAAGATAATGCTGGTTCTTACGTGATAACATTGTGTTTTGTTGTGTGTTGTTTTGTCAAGATCAAAACGTATTTATGTCATTAACTCAAGACAACAATGCTCTTTTTAACGTGATAACCTAGTCGAGATCTTGAGAGAACAAACACAAAATGTACTGGTTATCATGGGAAAAACCAGCATTTTTATCCCAAGATAACAAGATAAAATGTACTCGTTGTCATGGGCAACCCAGCATTTAAAAAAATAAATAAAAGCCATAATTTTAAGAAAAACAACCAAGATGTACTTGTTATCATTGGGGGGAAATTCTCAATTATCTTGCGATAAATAAGTCAAGATCTTGAGAAAGCATGGGAAAACCAATATTTTCACCACAAGATAACGAGATAAATGGAACGAGATCTCAATAAAACAACCAAAATGTACTCGTTATCATGGGGAAAGCCAACAGATATATCTTGATACAACAAGATATACAAGTCCAAATCTGATCACAAACAACCGGCGTTATCTTGAGATAATAAAGTAAATAAGTCAAGATCGCAATCAAACAAAAATATACTCGTTTTTGTGGTGAAACCATCGATGTTATCGTGAGATAACGGGATAAGTAAGTCATGAGCTCAAGAAGACAAAGGTGAGATAAAGCGATAGATACATCTTGAGCTCGAGAGAAACTGTTATCATAGGGAAACAGAGTAAAATGAAATGTAGGTAAGTGTGTCCCTTTGGGCTTCCATAGTTTGCACCAGTGAGAATTGTGGAACTTTTTTTTGTCAATTGTTGGCTTACAAAGGAAATGACGCACTCACAGTCACGCTTGCTGTGTTGTGCATACAGGCGGCACTGCAGCAGGAGTCTAAATGTGTCATTTCCTCTCAAGGGTACCGAGAAAAAAAAAAACGTCCAAGAAATCAAGGAACACTTCTCCAAAGATCATATGAAAACACGGGGATGCAATGAAACTGTGTTACCCACACATCAACGTGAGTCAATTTTACCTTTTTTGACACTTCTTCCATACCGAGGAAGAAAGACATATGGGCTAGCGTGTTTTCAGCTGAGTGTATGTAAAGCCCTCAGGCTGTAAAAGGATTCAGAATGATGAAAGAACAGACGATGAATCAAAAGCTGTCACACGTCTCATTACACCGAGAAAAAAAAAACCTTAAAGCAAACATTGTTGTTGTTTTTTTTTTGTTGTTTTTTTTACTCAACCTCAACCACACTTTATTTAACAAAATAGAAGCAGGTCAAATATCGCAAAGCATAGAAATGTAACTTTGAAACACAGCGATTTTTTTGAAAACGATGACAAATCATCAGTGGGCTGTGGCACAGGAATAACTCCACAGAAGAGAGACACATAGTTACCCCCCAACCACCCCCACCCCTGTTGTGATTGGACAAGGAAAGCCAGGAACAGGGGAGGGGGGAGATGACTGGACAGGAATGCAGGGAGTTGATGAAGATGACGATGAGAGTTGGTCACAGATCTGCTGAGATGTTAGTCCCCAAGGTCAAGCTGCGCATGTTTTTGGACGCAAAAGAGGGAGTAAGGAGGGGGGGTGAGTGGGTAGGGTGTATAGACATACATGCAGAAGCTCTCTCTCTATCTTTCTCTCTCGCTCATTTTCTCCGCACACGTGCAGGGCTGCATGCCTGCGCACCCAACTGTGCGAGGGACAGGCAGACAAAGGGAAGCAAAAGGGAGGTGATTCAGCACCATGGACAGCGCTAGTCTGCTCTGAAGGCCTAATAGCATAGGGGAGAGGAGAAGTGGGGGGGGGGGGTGTGGTGGTGGTGCGGGGAGGGGGAGGAAGAAGGGGGGATGGGGTGGGGTGTAAGCCCACCTCACATACGACACCTGTACATCATCATTTCATCATACCCATTGCATTTTTAAGGTCGATTTCTGCGTCAGTGTCGCTCAAAATTTGGCATTTTTGTGGAGTTCAGAATCAGTTAGCAAAAGTCAGAAGGAATCCCATCAGCACGAGGATTTCACATTAAAACAAAACAGAAAAACAAAAGCAAATTACACACTCCTCGCATCTCTTTCAGCCACCGCGGAGAAGTTAGAGAATGTAGGAAATTTGGGGAATTCTGGAAATAGCGCCTCAACGTTTTCATAATGCTTTTTGTTGTTTGTTGTATTCTGAAAGCAGCAGACCTGACAACAGCTTGAGTTAAAAAAAAAAAAAAAAAAAAACATGGCTGTTCAATCATGGCATTTGTTTTGTTTTTATCCCACATCATGAGCTCACAAAACAAAAAATAATAAAAAATAAAAATAAAAAAACATAAGAAGAACTTCAAAATGCTGGATTGGAAAAAAAAAAAAAAAAAAAAAAAGAGAAAAAAAAAAGGCATCTTGCATTATCAAATTACCTCCGCTGCTTTAGTGTGTCTGTGTGTGTGTGTGTGTGCGTGTGTCTGCTTCTCCCTCAAGCGCCACCTGTATCACTAAGGCCTGGTCACATGCTGAGTTATTTTCTCTCTCTCTCTCTCTCTCTCTATCTCAGTTTGTTAGAAATCAAAGAACCCCCCCCCCTCCCCCTAGTAAATACAGTGAGTTTCAGTTCTCTTATTTGGACAAAGATTAGATGGCTTTACAAAAGCTCACAATTATGATGAAAGTGAATCATAGCCTGAAGTTGCTTCTTCGTGTGTGTGTGTGTGTGTGTGTGTGTGTGTATGCGGGAATACTTTTTTTTCTGACGTTAAAAAAAAGAAAGAAAAAAAAAGCATCCTACTCTCTATTCTCAGTCTACCTGCGCTGCTTTACATAGATCCAATTAAAACCTACACATAGCTCGATTTGAAAACACGTCTTTTGCTCGGTTGTTGAAAAAATATGATGGTATAAACCCCCACCCGCCCCCTCCCCTCCCCCTCTTTTGTTGTTTTTTTCTTTTTAAATGACTAGTGTTTTTCTGTCCTCTCTCACCCAAAAGCAGGCTATAATCATTTGACGCACACAAAAATTAACACAGAACTGTTTTTTTTTTTTGTAAGCTACATTAACTTTGCAGCATTAAAAAGCATCTGAGTGACGTCACCTGGTCATGCTCATCTGCGTTGTCGGAGTATCTGAAAAGTCAACAATTGGCACACACCATAAAATAACAACAGTTTTGTTTTTGTTTTTTTTTGTGTTTTGTTTTTTTTTCTTTTACATTCATAAAGGAGATGATGATGACTGCAGCAGACGATGTGGGGTTTTTTTTTTCTTCAAAAATCTGCGCCACCTAGCCACGGTATAAATAACCCTTCAATATTTACCAACAATCAAAATGATAACAAACAGAAAGAAGAACATGCACTGACACCTTCACTCGTTTTTTTCCCCCCCAGATAGTCATCACCCCCCCCCCCTCCCCTCTCTCTCTCTCTTTCTCCCTCCGGACAACTTTTGAAAAACAACAAATACAAAATCCTAAACTGCAGGTTCACAAAAAAAAATAGAGAAATGGCACTTTTTGTAAATAGTCATATATAATTCTTAATATCTATATATCGTCGTCATATTGATATAACATGGAAAAAAAAGGGGGGGGGGTCGAGTTTTGCTTCTTTGTTGGTGGATTATGGTTCCTCGCCGTCCTTGTGTGTGTGTTTGTGTGTGTTGAAACCATGCGAAATATCATCATGCAGATTATGATACATCGGTCCGAGTATTTACATTTACATTCATGCGTTCGTGCACCATTCCCCGGGTCCTCTCTCTCTCTCTCTCTCTCTCTCTCGCTTTCTCACACACACGCCTTCTCCCCCCATCGCTCCCTCTTTTTCTGTCTCGCACAGATCCGTAGTCCGATTGCGGCAAATAGCAGAACTGGGAGGAGGAGGAGGAGGAGGAGGAGGAGGGAGAGGTTTTTTTTAAGCCAGGGGGGGGCTTGGCATATACATATATTACAGAGTGGGGCCTGTGCGCAGCAGCAGCAGCAGCAGCAGACTGACTTACTTGGTTCAACTTGGCGAAAAACAAGACATAAACAAGTCTGTGTTCGCCCCAAAAAGCGGATGATTCTTTCCGTTTTTGAGTCATTTAGTCAGTCTGTCTGTGTGTCTGTTTGTAATCCAGTCTCGTGGAGGCATATTGTACTAAAGCAGAGTCTCTTTTTTTCCCCTTTTACGCGTCATTAGTCGTGGAGAGGTGCGTGCTGCAGTCAAAGCCCCGGTGCGCGCTCCCGTCCGCGTTGTAAGGCCCGCTGTGCCAGTACGACGAGTCGCACACTGTCTGCAGGGAGTTGATCTCCGACGCCGAGGAGTTCCCGTCCCTCCGCTTCGACCGCTTCCGGTTCCTCAGGATGAACACGAGCATGCCCACGACGGTGAACGCGGACGTGACGAACACCAGCAGCAGCCCGGGCACGAGCACGGAGATGGAGACCCGGTTCGGCTCCAGGTACGAGTTCGCGCGCGTGCCCGAGTCCAGGGCGAAAGTGCTGTTTTTGGACAGGGGCGTCGGGGAGACCTTGTCGTAGAGCTTGGGGCACATGAGGTCGTTGCGCACGTAGCGGAAGTCGCGCTTCCAGAACTCCTCCGGGGACTCGCACTTGAGGTCGCTCACGATCACGTCGGCCCCCAGCTTCTCCGTCCACTGCTTGAAGGGCACGATGTGGCACGAGCAATCCCACGGGTTCCCGTGCAGGTCGATCTGTATGATTGAATTGAGCTGGTCCAACACGCCAGCCACGGGGAGGTAGGGGAAATAATTATTATGCAGGCTAATTTTGGACAAAGAAATCCCAAGGAAAGCATCCACAGGTAAAGATTTCAGCAGGTTGTTGTTGAGGAAGAGAACCCTCAAGCTTGGCATGGGGCTGAACGCACCCGCCACTATCATCTGGATGTCGTTATATTCCAAACTGAGATATTCCAGATTCACGAGGCCCACGAACATCTCCGCGATCAGCGTATCCAGGTAGTTCTTATCCATGTACAGCCACCTGAGCTCGCTCTGGTTCTGGAACGTGCCGTTGTCAATCATCTTGATGTTGTTCCCCCCCAGGTCGAGCAGGTTGAGGCTGGAGTAGCCGAGCAGCTGGTTCTTTTTCACCGCGTGGATGTTGTTGTCTCGCATGTTCAACTCGTGGGCCGCCAGGGGCCTCGGCTTGAGGTTCGATAAGTTCTCGATCTTCTTGCCCTCGCAGTTGACCCCCAGCCCCTGCCTGGAGCCCACTAGCTTGCAGTTGCACGGCTGCGGGCACGTCACGTTGTGCAGCTGCTCCCTGTCCCCGTTCACACCTGTCAACACGGGAGTGGGCTTGGTTTTCAGCTGCCAGTTCTCGCGAGACTTGGAGCGGCCCTTGGCGCCGCGGCCACCGGGCGTCGGGGGCCCGCCGGCGTCTCCGCCGGCTGGCTTGTAAGGCGTGGGCCCAGGCGCGTGGGCCACGGGGGCGGAGGTCTCCTCCTGGGTGGGCGGGGCCACCAGGCTGGTGTCCACGCCGCCGCTCAGCGAGGGGCACAGGTCCACCTCGGACGTCTCGTTCAGGTCGCTGCCCTGCAGCCTGGTGGGCGCCTCGCACACCACCCTCCCGATGAGCGCGTTGTGCGGAATGTTCTCCAGCCACTCCTTCAGGGACACCAGGTCGCAGTTGCAGTCCCACGGGTTGTCCTCCAGCAGGACCTCCGCGATGCCCGGTATCTGCTCGAGGACCCCCTCATAAGGCACCGTTTTGATTCGGTTCCCGCGCAGGTCGAGGTGCGTAATGGGCACATGTTGAAACACGTTGATAGGTAGCGCGCTGATGAGGTTGTCGTTAAGTATCAACACTTCAAGTTTATTTAGGTCCCTGAAAACGGCGGGGTCAATATCCCTCAGTAGATTAAAATCAGCCTGGAGATACTCCAAGTCGTCCAACCCCAGAAACGTACTCTTCCTGAATGAGCGTATCTTATTGTTGTTGATGTGCAGCCGCTTCACCAGCTGCAGCCCCAGGAAGGCGCCGGGCACGATGTCGTGGAGCCCGTTGTTCTCCAGGTGCAGGCTCACGGCGTTGTAAAAGTTGGCGAACTCGTTGGGGAAGAGCCGCGAGAGAGAGTTCCCGTGCAAGAGCAGGTGGTAGAACTGCGAGCTGGGGCCGGTCAAGTGCCGCAGCGTGGTGAAGCTCCGCTTCTCGCAGTCGATGTGCAGGTCCCCCTCCACGTCGTTGCACGAGCATATCTGCTCCTTGCAGACGTCCCTCGTAACGTTCCCACTCGCAACACAAAGAGCCGCATTCAGCAGGATAATCCAGAGCAGCATTTTTTCTAACGTGAATAATTCATCCCCGGTTTCGAGACGTGCGAGCTGCGAACTGAGTCTGCATCAATGCGAGGAACACAGAGGGGTATATTTAGCGACATTTAGGGAGAGCGTGAAGCCTTTTACATCACATCCATGCTGCATCTAACCTGCACTTGTGTCCACTCTTCCAGTTGCAAAAAACCACCACATAAAAAAAAAAAAAAAACGTCTCTTTCACGTCGACTGAATCCGCGCAGCCTCCGCGTGTTTATGATGAAAATCAAGCTGCAACACAGCAAGCGGCAGTAGAGTCCGACACATCTTTAAGGCTTTTTTTTTTTTCTCTCTTCTTTCTTTCAAATCGTCAAAGACTGACCTTGGCTTGTGGGGGGGAAACAAATGTAACAAATCCGTGCCCCTTTTCTTTTTTTTTTTTTTGTTCCTCCCTCCAGACGCTACTGCTGCTGTGTTGCGGCGGTCGGGGAGCTGTCCCCTCTTCCCGCGGTGCTGAATTCACACCCCGCGCTGCTTGCTGGAGCTGTATCCAAAACACCCGCATCCCCCTCTCACATCCTTCGGCGCGGTTTTTTTTTTTCTTTCTTTTTCTTCTTGTGTGTGCGTGTGTGTGTTTTTTTTTTTTTTTGGGGGGGGGGGTTCTTTTTTTTTTTTGGGTTTGCAAAATCGGGAGGATCACAAAAGGAGGAACGCGCAGACAGTGTTCATCCTAGCGCGGTGCTCTAAGAATAATCTGACACCCTCTACTGAGCTGTTACGGCAAAAAAAAAAAAAAAAAAAATCCAGTCAGACTGAGGGAATGCTGAGAAGAGAGAGCACGAGGGGGGAGAAGAAGAAAATAATCAATCCACGTTTCGAGGTCGAGGTTTCTTTTGCTTTTAATCACACTTTTATAGCTGTCGATTTGTTAGGATATGTCCCCTCCAGAGGCGCAACAAAAAAAATACGTTCCCATCCTGCTGTCAATGTCACTCTGAAAGCGCGCAGCTCCACGGCAAAAGTGTCCAAGTCGGCATCGTTGAAAACCCCACTGTCGAGATCTCACATTAGGGATCGTGATCCCTCAGTTCAATGCCTTCAATTACCCCCGCATTCTTGGGAGGATGAGCGGCATTAGTTTGGTGGATATCTCCCCTTCGTTATTTTTTTTTTTGTTGCGCCGCCAGCCCCTCCGCTGTCACAGCCTCACGCTTTCAAAACACTGTTGAATGCGGTAAAAAAAAAAAAAAACAATAATCCCGACACAGGCATGCCTCAGTCCGGCAGCAGCAGCAGCAGCAGAAGAAGAAGAAGAAAAAAAAACAGTTGACTATACAACAAACGATGCGTCAGTGTGGCACCCCTATATGCGCATGTGTGCGTGACGTTTCTTTTTTTTTTTTTTTTTTTTTGCCAATATGAAAAAAAGAATCGCGAAAAATAGACCCACAACTGTAAAGAGAAAAAAGAAAGAAAGAGGCGATGTAGTTTGGACAGATTCTCATCTCTTATCGATGTTTATTATACTCAGTTGTTTGGGGGGGGGGGTGTTACATCAGAGAAAGAAGGGGGGAGTTGAGGTAGTTATCAGCCCCCCCCCTAACACCACCACATTCCTCCTCCTCCTCCTCCTCCTCCTCCTCCTCTCTCTCCTCCTCATCTGCAGTGCTCAGTTGGAATTAAGAGCAGGACAGAAAAATGGCAAAGCAAAGTTAAATACTCCTTGTGTCTGTTTTTGCAAAGAGGAAACAACAGGGACACACACACACACACACACACACACACACACACACTCACACACACTCACACAAGTGCGATGTCAGGAGATTCCAGCATCGCAGCAGCGGTGCTCGCAATAAGCAAAACATCATTAGGACCACCTACATATGTCTGTAAAGCATTCCCATTATGGCCCATTGGCTGGTTATGATTTCTCCCTACCCACACACCTGCCTGTCTCTCCGTCTGCTTTTTTTTCTTGGGAACACACACACACACACCTGTCGGCTCGTGTATCTTTGTTTTCTCTTTTTGTCTGGCTCAAGACATTTTTTTTCATCCGTATCCGTTCCTATTTAGTCACAAATGAGTTTATTTTCCTCGATATCTTGACTTAATCATGACATTATCTCAATGTGTCTCCATGGAAACGTGCATTTGCAAGTGGTAATGCGCCAACAAAAAGTAATTTGCATATACATTTACGTCCACGCTTTTGGTTTAATTCGGTGATACAAGTGATTCCCTTTTTTTTTTCTTGATATCTCAACTAAATTATCTCATTACTTTAATTTGTCTCGATGACAACAGGTGTATTTTTTAGTGTTAAAAGAAAAAAAAGGTTTTGTGTGTTGTCTTTATGGACATCCTTCAGACATTTACGGAAGCCCAAAGGGAACATACAACCATTTTTTTTTTGTAACAGTTTTTTACGTAGTTCAAGTATTTGTATGTCTTGACCAAATGATTTCATTATCTCAATTTGTTTGAAAAAAATATATATATATTTATATTGTCTTTATGGACATGCTTTTGACAATTACGGAAGCCCTAAGTGTACATAAATCCATACTCTCCCCCCCCCCATTATTCAAGTAATTCCCTTTTTTTCTTGATATCTTAACTAAATGATGTCATTATCTCAATTTGTCGCTGTGGTAACAGGATTGTTTTATTAAACTGGTTAAGGACTAAAATGTTTTTTTGTGCATTATGGACATGCTTTTGACATTTACGGAAGCCCTGAGTGGAAATACAATAAAATAAAGTCCCTGTTAAGTAATTTTTTTTCTATAGTTCTTGACCAAATGATGTCATTATCTCAAGGTTACGGCGTTTGTTTTCCATTGTAACAAGTTCATTTCCCAATGTCTGAAGAAAACAACTGAAATGTTCTTGTGATGGTAAACAAGATAAATTAGTTAGAAAATAACTGATTTATTAGTTCTCACATGAAAATTGAGTCAAGTAAAATGTATGTATGTTCTGTACAGTATGTCCTCTTGGGGTTTCCATACATGTTGCCTTAGTAGTAAGAGTAAAAACAAAAGAATAAGCAGCTGTGGAATATAAACACATAAATACACTATTATTACATAATTATACTATCACCATTATTGACACAAGGGGTGTTTGTTTGGACCGTCTTCAGAGCTATTTATGCAGCTTTCATGGCGTCCAACTATTCAGGTAGTTAAGACAGTGATTGCCTTCTGCTCTCTTATTGTTTGCACGGTGCAGATGTGATGCAGAAAAAAAAGCAAACACTCAAGAGAATCAATAGCGTTCGATCAGGGGGCGATGCTGTGCCACATGATTGCCTGCAATTTTTCCTCTCCTGTTCTATTCAAGTCTGGCGGGTATATTTTTAAAACAGCCCTTATTGACACCCATGGGTGGGATTTGGAGCCATGCTACACCCCTTACATGGTTCCAGTCCAGCTTGAGTAAATGTTATTATCAACAGGAAGATCTTATATGTCAAATTTAGGAAATTTAGTTCCCAAAATCCTGATTTTCTATAAGCTTAGCCTACATGTTTCTCTTGTCTGTTCTTTTTTTTCTTACAGTCAGACAATCTCCCTGACATTCCCCTTGGCATGTATTTAAAGACTTACTTTTGTCTCGTTCTAAACATTAATCTGTTTGTGAGTCAATGACCTGGATTGAAGTAAAAATAGCAACAAGCTTCTCTGCCATATCAAAGTCTCTCCATCTGGAAGTTTCCAGCAATCGTCTCATAACAGCAAGTAAGATCTTTGCCCTTGGCACTGCAAATCCCCTACTGAGATTTTCCCCTTCTTTCTTTTTTTTTTTTTTGACAGGATGGGGGAGAAAAACACACGCCACATCAGATCACTTTAGTTTCATCCAGATGTGCACGCTCATCTTTGGGAAAAAGTACTCTCTCCGAGGAGGAGGACTGAAATACTCCACGAGTAATAACAGGTCAGGAGACACGTTAAGCTAGTTTCGCATCAGCAAGTTCGGCTGGGTATTTGCAGACAGCATTCAAAATCAGGTATGGCTGGTTTGAGGTTTGATACAGCTCATGGAATGTGATTGGATAACATTTGATCATACAGTAGTTGAGGTGAATGGAAGAAATTCTGAGTCATCTGACAACAAAGGAACAACAGATCTTCAAATAATCTTTCCATTCACCTGATATATATAAAAACAATGCACAAAAAGTAAGGAAATGTGTGTTTGGTAGATTATGTCTTTGTTGTAACAATGCTTCGTGGAAATAAATCTCATACCGTTGGAAAGCCTGTTTATTTCACTTTAAATGGTGCCACATTTGAAAGGAACATGTATTTGTGGGATGAGCAGCAGAGCTGAGTATGTGGGTTGCGCCCTGGAAAAAAATGCCAAATCTTCTCTACCAATTCTTAACAACTTGTTGTGCTGTTGACTCTTGTTTGGTGTTGTTTAGTGTTGCTTAGAGTGCTTACAGTGCTGTCAGATGGGGCCCCATTAGGGAGATTTCCTACTGTCATTGCAAAATTTGCGCATTTTGAGCTACTGCTGTGGTGTAATGTTTTTCATGAATCGGGCGGCCCCTAAGTGGCCTGGGGCCCCAAGTAGTTGCCTGTTAAAGCCGCAGATTCAGCCTGTAGGACAAAGAGACTGAGGAACTCATTTGATCCTGCTGCCATCGCCTTTTTAAGCGCCTAATTGGGTCGCTTTTTCCATCTGTGAAACGTTTGATGTCTGAAGGTGGATATTACTTTGGACTGGTCAACTGAGCTGTCAGTTTTTTTAAATGCAAAATTCAGACATTCAAAGACGCAGGAGTATCGTTGTTTTGAATCACTGTGACTATAGGGAGACACTTTTCTACGGTGTGCCTAAAGTGCCCAAAATAGTGATTAATCGCGATTAAAAAGAATGTCTGCATTAATTTCAGACCTTAATCGCAAGAAATTTGTTAATGCTAACTGACTGAAAATGACAGCTTTAGAGAACAAAAAGCGTGTAACACAAGCGATATGTATCAGAATGTATAGTAATTAAACTGGTACTTAATTTGGAATCCCTTTGTAACACCTTTTTTTTTTTTTTTTTTTTTTTTTTTAATTATGCAGCAAAGCTCCTGCAGATGTGTCATGTACAGAAAAAGATGGGTCAAGTGCAGACTGGAAGTCAATACAGCTATTGGCAGAAGCAGCAGGACCCGCCCCCCAATGTATCGAGCCACAGAGCCATTTGGGGAATCAGCAGAATGTTTGACTACAAATCCATACACATCTATCCACAAACTCCATACGACCCCCACCCTTGTCTTTTCCTGTCAACACAGCTGAGCCGCCAAAAGCCAGCTGAGAGTTCAGTGAAGCACGACCAGATGGAATATATACTGAAATATATATATGTGTTCTAGCTTAAAGCAACTGAATGTGAACACTGAGACTTTTTTGGGGGGCGGCGGGTAAGATTCATGTGAACATTTAGATCTTAGAAAAAAGACAACTTGTGTGAATCACTTGCCTTGAAGGAGAGGGATTTAATTATAACATTAAAATACCACTGAGGCCTCGAGACAATGCTGTATCACCACTGCGCCCTTAAGCCTCCTTTAAAAAAGGAATCATAGTGAATAATAATACAGACGAGGCGGCAGTCAAGCGCGTCCCCTTTCAGACAACATTTAGTGTTTTTTATTTCTAAAGTTCCATCACCGAGAGTATGTTTAGTTTGGTAACATTTCCCAAAGGAAAAGTTGGCATTTTATTTGTTCATTACAGTGGAACAACTAGCTTGTCCATGTACTTTCAGCCAGCTAGCTAGCTAAGTTAACAAGTCCACTGCCACACTCACGCCTCCATCAGTGCACACTCGACTCAGTCAGCCGATGTGCAAGCTAAGTTTACGAATGTTAAATGTCATAGCAGCGCAACTATAGTGAGTGCTGTCATATGGGGCGCCTTAGGGAGGTTTCCGACTGTCATTGCAAAATTTTGCACCCATTGCTGGTCTCTCGCTTCCCACAGTGCACACTCCACTCCATCAGCTGCTCTGATCGCTAAGTTAACATTTTTTTTAAGTCATAGAAATGACGCCAAAATGTAATGCTAACAGAAGTTATGAAATTCAAGTGTCTCCCCTCTATTTTGCTTTTGGAGCAAAGCGTTACGCTTAGCAGCGTAACTATATTAAGTAACTATATTAAGTGCCGTCAGATGGGGCCCCCTTAGGGAGGTCTCCTACTGTCATTGCAAAATTTGGACATTTTGAGTAACTGCTGTGATTTTTCCCTTCTGGGGCATCAAGCAGTTGCCTTCT